GTGGAGCTAAGGATTAAATTCAAGGCAAACATACTAAATCTTGATTTTACTGATGTGTGTGTTTTTTTTAAATAACCACAGTGAAGAGCATTTACATTTTTTACTTTCAGTTGATATGGTAACTTACTTGTGAAGAATTTGACATGTGATTTTGTAAATAAAAAGGTGCTCATGATGCCTTCATCTGCACAGATGTCTGTGAACTCTATTTTGATCAAAAAGTTAATGTTAAGAAGCATGCATGGAGATAACCTAGAACCCCTGCACAGATGTAGTCCATGGCAGTGTAGTGTCCAAGTGGGTTACATAGTAATGGGAAGAGGGGCTGTCTCTGACATAATCTGATTGGCCTGCTCTTTGATCACCTCCCCTTGAGGGGGGAGCAGCCTTACCAGGCCACAGTAGAGGACAATGCAGCCATTCCTGATGTGATCTGATAGACTAAGATCAGAAGGAAGGAGAGGAAGACCTCCCCTATCAGTGGTCATGGGGAGGAGCATGCATGCAGAAAGGGGAGGGATGGTGGGACCGGGAGGAGAGGAGGGAGGGGCTTAATGCAAAGTGAATAAACTGTAGTTAAGAATACACTTTCTGTGTCTGGAGAGATGAGTTTGCAATCAGGAGTACTTGCTGCGCTTCCAGTGGACCCAGTACCCACATGACAGCTTACAGCTATCTGTAACTCCAAGTTCAAGGACTTTGATACTAACTACTGGCTTCCATGGACACTATACACACATGATGCACATACCTACATGATGGATAAACATCCAAAATAAGATACATTCTTAAAGAAAAAAAAAGCATGTGTGTGTTTATGCAAGCATGTTGTAAGGTGTGGGTGCTCACACTCATGCTCACATGCAAAGGACAGAGAGGAGGTTGCGTGTCCTTTATCACTCTTCATCTTATTTTTTGAGACAGGGTTTCTCACTGAACCTGAAGTTGACCATGTGAGCTAGTGTTCCTGGCCAGTGAGTTTCCTAAAGCTGCCTGTTTTCTGCATTCAACAATGTGGTTATAGGCATGCCTGATTTCTGTATCAGTGCTTAGGATTCAAACCCAGATTCTGCTGGTTACGTAGCAAGTGTTGTTACCCATTGAGTCATTTTCCCAGACATGAATAAACTCCTGATAACCTAAATAAAATAAGATACTAACATTCTATACTCTCTTCATAATGTAATAACTAAGAGTGGATTGGTATAAATTTTTAATATTAAAAAGACAGTAATTAAATCTGTTATGGATTGAAGTAGATAATAAAGACTTCTTGAGAAATGGGAATGTACAAAGACAAAATATCAATCAGTCAATCAATCAATCAATCAATCAAATATTTGACTGTAGACAACACTGGCATTTGTAGAAGAAAGATGACAGGAGCAAATGACACAGGAAAAATACAGGGTGAATTTGGAATGTTACAGATAAGGATGGAGAAAAGGATGTGTCATAATAGTTACTATGAGTGTAGGTGGGGTCTTAAGTTTCTAAGCTGATGAAGGGGTCAAACTTATATGTAAAGATGCAAACACTGAATTACAGTTTGATAGATACATGTGAGCTTTAAAATGACAACCAGTTGAATAAGGAACAAAAAAAGCTTACTTTAGAACAAAACATTAATCCCACACTACAATGGACTCTAAAAGAAAAGTAAGCAGAGTTGTGTTTCCTTCATAGCCCTGGCAAAGGCACAAGGTTGAAAGGAAATAGCTAAAGGAATTGTAATAAGCCCACTGCAGTAAGCAGCAGTAGTAAGCAGTTAAGGTAATGAAGTGTGTTAATAAACATCCCTGGATTGTTTCAGAAACACTCTAAAAATATGTCTCATGCTTTAGGAGAGAAAACAATTCTTTGGTGCTGTACATTTGTTTCTTCTTATTCTAACTTTGTAGGTGTTAGATTGAATATCATGCAAAAAAAGCAAAAAAGGGCAAAAAAAGGGAGGGGCATTAATACTATTTAAAGAAAGGGACCTATTTTCATACTTATTTATTCACTTTCATTGTGTCTTTAAAAGATAGACCACAGTAAAATGTTTCAGTTCTGTTACCTATCTAGAGTTATTTTCCGTAGGAGTACCCTCTCAAATTTAGTATACTGACAAAAGAAACACACACACAAAAATACCAGAAAAATCAAACTGATGGATTACACATTAAATGAGGAAGGGATAGTTTAAGATATATTCTACCAGATGCCGAGCATGTATTGTAATCCTAGTCAGGGTGGAATAAGAGGTAGGTTTGTTTGCATAGACATTTGGGAGCAGTTTGGGAAACATAGTAACACTTCTTTTCCACACACACACACACACACACACACACACACGTACGTGTGCGTACACATGCATGCACACCTCTAACTACTTCCTAAATTTTCTTGGGATAGTAGATAGAAAGATTGTCAGAGCTTCTTTTGAAAAACTTTCAGTCATCTAACTAGGGGGCTTTGGAACTTCCCCCTTTCTCTCTCTCATGCCCTTCTCTCTCTCTCCCCCCTCCCTCTCTCTCTGGAGTAGGGTTTAAATTGAATTTCTGCTTGTTTCTTAGGAAACTGACAGTATACACCAACATAAGCCTGAGTCCAGTTCTAAATTCTCCAGCCTAATTGGCAACATGTTTGGTAATTCATGTACTCTTACATACACTCCCTCCTCCCATATCTTTTAATAATAAATGTTCTTTGAGAAAAAGCATGATTTATAATGCTCAGTCCTCTAGGTATTCTAAAATACATTATTTTAAACATGCACACATGCTTTTTAAAAATTGGGTAAAATACTGTAAGAAGTTAAAGCTAACATTTCATGAGTGCTTACTATGTGCAAGGTACTATCCCAAGAACCTTTTACTGCTGTATGTTATTATTTAATCCTTACACCAGTCTTAGAAAGTGGGCTCTTTTTAGTAGCCATATTGTAGACAAATTAATTGATAAGAGCACAGAGAAGTTAAGTAACTTGCCTACTCTAGGATTTTTTAAATTGCTTTAATTTAGGGAAACCCTTAAATAACACTTAGGAGGTAACTTATTTTCTAATGTTTAAACTTAAAGATTCTTTGAAATAATTATATATGTGTGTATGTATGTGTGTGTGTGTGTGTATGTATATATATATATATATACACACACACACACATACAAACACACCTAGGTGTGTAGGTATGTGTGTGTGTGACCTTTTTGGTGTGGTGCACTCTTAGGTTCTGCTACCTGGGGAGGCTGAGGTGGGAGGACATGTTGAGCTGAGCAGCTTGAGACCAATTTGGGGAACAGGAACACTCTACCTTTTTAATTTCTCCCATCTTGCTTTATAATAAAATAAGCTCTTAAAGTGACTCATTAGTGCAGTAGAAGTGCTAACTAGTGTTAACGAGTTTCATAAAATAAGCCCTCTTTATCTTTAACCACTAAGTGAAAATAGTTCTTTGAAAATACTTTTTAGTAAAAAATGTAATGTTCAAATGACATAAAAGCATATTTTAATACATAGTATTAAAGTAACAGCCTCTGGGATTTTGTTAATTGATTATTCATCTAATAAGTAAAAAACTCCATACTTTTAAAAAATGCTGAAGTAGTCTGGAGAGATGGTTCAGAGGTTAAGAACACTGTCAGTTCTTCCAGAGGTCCTGAGTTCAATTTCCAACAAGAACATGGTGGCTCACAACCATCTATACAGAGATCTTATGCCGTCTTCTGGCATGCAGATATACATGCAGACAGAGCACTCACCAACATTGAATGAATGAATGAATGAATGAATGAATGAATGAATGAATGAATGAATGAATGAATAAATCCTTAGCTGGGCATGGTGACACACTCCTGTAATCCCAGCACTCGGGGAGGCTGGGAGGAGAGGAAGGACTACACAGAGAACTACTCTGTCTCCAAAAATCAAACATAAACAAATAAATGAATAAATAAGTAAATATCCTGAAATAATTTTTATAAGATGCTAAGGTCTTTCTGCAGGTATTTTGTAAGTACAGAAAAGACTTCTGGCTGTTGTGCTTTTATTGTGATACAGCATTCAAATATATTCAGATACTGCCAGCTTCATTATCATCTTTTACTTTAGGGTTCAAGCTCAGCCTACTTTTTAAAAGTAAATTTACTAGGTCTTAGTTCATGTTTCAAAATTCTAAGACTAAATTTCCCAAACTTTTAAAACTTTTAAAACTCTTAGTGTATAATGAAGCAGGAAGACAGTCCAACAAGTAAGCAAATATTTAAAGCCATTCTATCAAACTCAAAAGATTAAGTAAACCAATGTCATTCCTTTACAAATGTCACAACATAATGAAAGACAATTTAAAAAGCACTGTATATATCTAAAAGCAGAAGATGGAGAGTATTAATTACTACTGATTTTATTAATACATCATTATCTACAACCTGAAAAAAACTGCTCCTGTTGCAGGTTTGATTTCTTTCCTCAGCCTGTTTCTTCATCTACTAATAACAAAGCTAATTTCCAAACACAGGGAAGTGAAGTTTTCTGTTTTGAAACCTGTTACTGCAGCTTAGATTTGGCATAAGTTCAGGGGAGAGCAAAGGACTTATGTTCCTGTGCTTAGAGAGTGTACATTCTGAGCAGCACCTCCCCTTATACTCTTGCCTGCCATTGTTAACAGGAACCTTTTGAATTCTTTTGTAAACTTAACACATCACTTAACTTTCAGCTTTTTGCAACCTGGCTCTTTCCCTACAAGTGATTCACCTGTAAGTTTTTCTCTTTGGTTACGTTTTATCCCTGTTTTAATGGGATTTTCTCAGCCCAGTCATACATATCTGTGTAACCTTTGGCATTAAGCCTATTTGTTATTAATGGGGTTTTGCTACCCTACTTAGGTTGCAATGGTACCCTTTTCTCTTTTATAATTAAGTAGCTGTCATGTGGCCATCAGCCACTTTATAAACAATGACAATCAAGTAGTTTTTAATCCCTTTAAATTCACAAAGCCCAAATGATTTTTCTCTCCTAGGAATGCCAGAATCACCTCCGCAGATATGGAAATGTGAATCTGGAACTGGTGACTCGAATCATTAGAGATGGTGGCCCATGGGAAGATCCAGTGTTGCAAGCTGTTCTTAAAGCCCAACCGACATCTCAGGAGATAGGTACTTCAGGAGAGTCAACACCAAAACCATTTCTTTTCTAACTTGGCCCAAAGTGCTTCTTGATACTAGCTTTGTTACATGTCTCTCTAGTAATGGTACTATGGCTGTTTACATGTTTACTGGGTGTTACAGAGAGTTTGTTTTTGGCCTTTCGGTTATATTTTAAAATCTATTTAAGTAGGAACACTTTTTCTTTTCTTTCTTTCTTTTTTCTTTTTTTAAGGCCCAATCCAAACCTTTTTATTAAAATAACAGGCAGAAGTCGGTCACAGTGTTGAGGGCTTTTAAGCCCAGCACTCTGGGAAGTAGAGGCAGGTGGATCTCTGGGATGTAGAGGCCAGCCTGGTCTACAAAGCGAGTCTAGCACAGCCAAGGCTACACAGAGAAACCCTGTCTCGAAACAAACAAATGACAATGACAAAAAACAAACAAACAAACAAACAAACAAAAAGCCACACAGACTATCCATTGTATATGAGTTCTCCTGTGAAGGTTGGAACTCTGAATTTTTTTTATCCCCATTACTATAGTAATACATTATTATGTCTGTATTCTATAGTTAGTCCAATGTCCAGTGCACAGTCACTGCTTGGTGCTGATTGAATGATTACATGAATTAATTAAATGAATAAGTAAATTTCAATTATAATAGAACAGCATTTCCCAAACTAATAAAATTTTGTGTCGTCTTCTCATTACTTGCATCCTTCTTTGACATTAGCCCCTGTCATACAGGTCCACAGTGGACTCTAGTGAACCAAAGTTTCTTATTGAAGGAGGAATATTATTGAAGCTCTGTTCTCTACTCCTACCTGTTAATCCTTAGTTTCCCATATTATTCAAATGTCCTAAGTTCTAAAACATGCGGATCACGAAAACTTAGGATGTAAGTTTAACAATAGTGTTTGAGCACCAAAATGTACAATGTATTTTGAAATTGTGGAGTTTATAAGAAAGCCAAAGAGAACAGACAAGCTCTTCCAACTTGTGGACAGTTTAACTAGTTTGTGTTGAACATGTTAGAATATTCCCATTTGCACCAGGTTAAGAGGTAGAGTGTGTGGAGAAGGAAAGTATGATGCTGGCGTAAGAGCAAACCACCATTATACCCAGAGTGGATAATCCACAGGAAATAGGGGGAGCTCTTGCTTGATGTGTGAATCTTGGAAAGGGCTTAGAAAGTCAAAGACGGACACAGTTGTAACTGAGGAGAAAGACTTACTTATTGAGGAAAATTGTAATAAAGAAAAGAGTCATAATTAGAGGAAACAAGGAAATGTGGTCAGAGAAGATAGGGTGTAGCATTAAGGAAAAGGATCCAGGCAGTCCTGATGAAATTTGATAAGCTATGGACAGATGGCAGGGGAAGATAACTTCCCCCCTTTCAGTGGACTAGGGTAAGAAGATAGGGCAGAAGAGTGAGGGAGGGTGGGACTAGGAGGAGCTGAGGGAGGGGGCTACAATCGAGATATACAATGAGTAAATTGCAAAAAAAAAAAAAAAATTTAAGGCAAATAAAGAAATAAATACAAAAAGAAAGAAAGAAAGGAAAAGTAAGAAAGCCACAAATGGAAGAAGGCAGGAGATAGCTTGATGACTCATAAGGTAAAGGTACTTACTGCACATGCTTGTTAATCTAAGTGCCACATGAGGGAACGCACGTGACATACAAAGACACACACACATACCAATAATTTCATTTATTTATTTATTTATTTATTTATTTATTTATTTATTTATTTATTTATTTATTTTTTAAGAGGGCAGGAGAGAAGAAAGTTCATTAGGCTTCTAAGGGGCTGTTCAGGCTTCTTTGAGTAGGAGGAAGAAGAGATATATTGTTAGTTGAGGTGAAGGCTGATGGCCTCTTCAGGCTGGGAATCACATTAAAATAATGAATATTCCTTTTATAACTGCACTAACATTCCTCACTTTAGACAAAGGTTCTCTAGAGCCTCATTAATATAGATGACTCTTCTCTACATAGTAGTCATTATGATAAAGTTCAGACTGGATTTTATTTGTGCATGAACTCCAAGCCAGTGTTTACTTACCATACATTTTAAACAGAAGTATAAGAAAAAATGTTTAAGTCAAAATAAAATATAGTTCATCAGCACTTCCGTAGCTTCTGATGGAATGTAAATACTTGAAAATTGTTTGGATTTAAAATTCATAAACTACAGGTTCCACTTTGTTCTCTATAACTTATAATTTGTCATTAGGCAAGTAATTTAATCTCTAAAACGAATAGCATAGTACTTATCATAAGGTTGTTGTTAGGCTCAAATAAACTTACACAGTTAAGTGTGTTTGTATATTATGAAAATGAAAGTAAGCATAAATTAGTAATTATCCTTGGTGATACATGAACACATTAATAGGCCTCTTTGGTACAACTTTGCATTAATTTTATCAAATATTTATTCATGATTCAGCTTTTTCATTAACTTAGCTAACATTCTTTACAGTTAATCTGATTTAATGTGGTTTTAATATACTAATTTAGCATATGGTCTTTTGTAATAATGAAAATATTGGACAACTAGAAGCAAAGTGTGTAATTTTAGACTAGAGAAACATTTTAGACTTGTTACTTGAAACATTGTAATGTATTGATGAACTAAATGGACATTTGATTTTTTTCCTCTAATACAAGTTTAATTCTAATTTTTACCCTTTTTTAGACTAAGAAGAAATCAGCTAGAATTTCATTAGCACTGTTTGGAAGTTTTATTTTTCATTTATCAGCCATGTTACATGACTGTTCTTTTTAAAAATAAAAGTTTTATTGAACATGTTATTTAAATAATCTAATTAGATTAGATGTTTTAGTTGTAAAGTTTCAAACAAGAAAGTTTGGATACTTTTGAGAATAATAACGTTTTCTTTTTTAATATAGTGAACAAATATTTAAGTTCCGAAAACCCACTGTTCTTTGAACTACGTGCCAGATACCTAATTGCCTGTGAACGCATACCTGAAGCAATGGCTCTTATAAAATCTTGTATAAATCACCCTGATATGAGTAAAGACTTGTACTTCCATCAAGCACTCTTCACCTGCCTGTTTATGTCACCTGTAGAAGATCAGCTGTTCCGGGAGGTATTATTTGAGACTACTTTTTCCTATAACCATTTTAACCTTACTAAAACCGAAATCAGATAACACCAAAATCAAATAAAGGAAAACTGCACTGTTACTGAATTTCTTTTGCAGTAATAACAAAGATTTAGAGATCACACTATTTAAATGTGTTCTCTTGTGACTGTTCCTTAAGTTCATGTGAATTAGTCAGAATCTGATGTTAACAAATAATTGAATTAACAATATATAATTACTATATTTTTGGTATGATACAGAAATTAAATAAAAACTTATAAACAATATGATTTTTGTTTCTTAAAGTGCAAAGAAGTTACTTATGTTTCTTTTGCTTTTCATAGTAAATGAAGGAATTCTTTCCTAACCTGACTCTTACTTACCCATATACCTAGTGACCTTGCAAGTACTTGTGAAATACGGGTGCTATACTCTAAATTATAAAAGTATTTCAGAACACTGTATAATTGTAAAACACAGTAGAAATCTACTGGTACTTGCAAGTGTTTTAAACAGTAACTACAATTAGATGTTTATACATTTTTAATGATTAGAACTGACTCTTCCTTTCCTCTTAATAGCATTTGTTGAAAACTGACTGTAAGAGTGGAATTGATATCATCTGTAACACTGAAAAAGAGGGCAAGACTTTGCTAGCCTTACAACTCTGTGAATCCTTTCTTATTCCACAGCTTCAGAATGGGGATATGTACTACATATGGTAAGTGTTTCTGATGCGTAAGTTGAAATAAAAAATGGTGAACAGAAGATTGGTTAATAGAGTTTGGACTTTATATTTTCTTTATAGTTGTGTGAAAGTGTTCGATTACTTAAAAAAAGGTTTATTTTTTATTTTTTATTTGTGTGCATATGCCTGTGAATGCAAATGCCTTTAGGGGCCAGAAGAGGGCATCAGATCCTTTGGAGCTGGAGTTGACTGTTTGTGAGCTGTCCAATGCTAGAAACTGAACTAGGGTTTTCTATAAGAGCAGTTCAAGCTCTTACCCAACGAACCATCTCTTCAGACCCTTCAATTACTTTTGTTTATTTTTTTAAAGTTATGCTAAAAACTTATTTTAGGACAGGGATGTATTTTGTTTAACAAGTCTCACCCCATCCCCAATTTAACAAAGACAAAAGGGAAATCTTTTATGAGCTAACATTAAACAAAACAAAACTTTGAGTGCAAAAAAATGTCCATTTTAAAATATCATATTATTTTGGAACAAGTTGGGAAACATATATGTTCATTTGTAAAATATTAAATAGATTATCTACCTTACGATTTTTAGCTATCATTTTGTTTTAAAATCTATTGCAAAGTCAGGCCATATGTTCTTCAATATAATTGGTCTATTCGCTTTCTTTATCTCCCTTTTATAAAAACACTCCGTATTTAAAATGTTCACCATCATCTTTCATCTCACTTCATGTGTACACTTTTTCTTTATAAATTCCTCAAGAGGCTTCAGCATTTAGGAATATTATAGCTACCATATTATCTGGATGGGGCAATACTTTACTTACAGAATTGTTGCCTGGCATTGGTGAAACAACAGTAACAGACCAAAAAAAATAAAATACCCCAGATTATCAGGTAACAAAATTTTGCTGAATAAATGTTATTTCTTGGTATCTTTTTTTTTTCATTTTTTTTATATTAATTACAGTTTATTCACTTTGTATCGCAGCTATAGCCCCTTCCCTCATTCCCTCCCTGTCCACCCTTTCTCCTTCGTCTCCTCCCAAGCCTCTCTCCAAGACCACTGATATGGGAGGTCCTCCTCCCCTTCATCTGACCCTAGCCTATCAGGTATCATCAGGACTGGCAGCATTGTCTTCTTCTGTGGCCTGGTAAGGTTGCTCCCTCCTCAGGAGGAGGTGATCAAAGAGCTAGCCATGGCTGAAAGAGCCCTGTTCCCCTTACTAGGAACCCACTTGGAGAATGAGCTGCCATGGGATACATCTGTGCAGGGGTTCTAGGTTATCTCCATGCATGGTCTTTGGTTAGAATATCAGTCTCAGAAAAGACCCTTGGGCCCAGATTTCTTGGTTCTGTTGCTCTCCTTATGGAGCTCCTGTCCTTTCCAGGTCTTTCTGTCTTTTCCTTCTTAAGATTTCCTGCACTGTGCCCAATGTTTGGTTATGGGCCTCAGCATCTGCTTTAATACACTGCTGGCTATATCTTTCAGAGGCGCTCTGTGGTAGGCTCTTATCTTGTTTCCACCCTCTTCCAATGTCCATCCTGTTTGCTTTTCTGAGTGAGAATTGATCATCTTACCCAGAGTCATCCTTCTTGCTTAGCGTCTTTAGGTGTACAGATTTTAGTATGTTTATCCTGTATTATATATCTAATATCCACTTATAAGTGAGTATATACTATGTGTGTCTTTCTGCTTCATGGATGTCTTACTCAGGATGATCTTTTCTAGTTCCCACCTGCAAATTTCATGATTTCCTTGTTTTTAATTGCTGAGTAGTATTCCATTGTGTAAATGTACCACAATTTTTGTATCCCTTCCTCAGTTGAGGGACATCTGGGTTGTTTTCTAGGTTCTGGCTATTACAGATAAAGTTGCCATAAACATGGTTCAGCAAATGCTTGAGTGTATTTTGGATAGGAGTGGTGTAGCTGGATCTTGAGAAAGCACTATTCCTAATTGTCTGAGAAAGTGTCAGATTGATTGGTTGTACAAGTTTACATTCCTCAATGCAATTCCCATCAAAATACCAACACAATTCTTTACAGACCTTGAAAGAACCATTCTCAGTTTCATATGAAAAACAAAAAATCCAGAATTGCCAAAACAATCCTATACAACAACAGATCATCTGGATGTATCTCCATCCCTGATCTCAAGCTGTACTACAAAGCATAGTAATAAAAACTGTATGGCACTGGCATAAAAACAGAATGGTGGATCAATGGAACTGAATAGAAGACCCAGAAATAAACCCACACATCTAAGAATACTTGATTTTTGACAAAGAAGCCAAACCATACAGTAGAAAAATAAACAGCATCTTCAACACATGGTGCTGGTCTAATTGGATGTCTACGTGTAGAAAAATGTAAGTAGACCCATATTTATCACCCTGCACAAAACTACAGTCAAAGTATATGAAAGAACTCAACATAAAACCAGACACACTAAATCTGTTAAGAAGAAAAAGTGGGGGAGAGCATTGAACTCATTGCTACAGTATACAAGTTCCTGAACAGAACACCCAACAGCACAGGCTCTAAGATCAACAGTCAGTAAATGGGACCTCATGGAACTGAAAAGCTTCTGTAAAGCAAAGGACACTGTCCTACAGACTGGGAAAAGACCTTCACCAACCCTATATCTGACAGATTGCTAAGATCCAGAATATATAAAGAACTCAAGAAGTTAAAAGGCAATAAATTAAGCAATCCAAAAAAAATGGGGTACAGAGCTAAACAGAGAATTCTCTATAGAGGAATATCGAATGGCAGAGAAACACTTAAAAGAAATGTTCAACGTCCTTACTCATCAGGGAAATGCAAATCAAAATGACCTTGAGATTTCACCTTATATCTATCAGAATGGCTAATCAAAAACTTATGTGACAATACATGCTGGAAGTGATGTGGAGAAAGGGGAGCCCTCCTTCATTGCTGGTGGGAATGTAAACTTGTATTTCTTGGTATCTTAAAGGTTATATAGATTCTATGTAGGAAGGTAGTAACTTATTAAACTTAAGTACATACCTGGCAGTTCACTACGGATATGTTTAAAGGTAGTGAATAAATATATCAGTCACTGTCTCCATCATTCATTGTCTTACTATATTGTGTTACTGAGGAGATTTTCATGCATTAGTAGCAGGGAAGTATGATTTATAAAATATATAAACAAGCCTGACCAGGATCTCAGAAATAAGTGCTTCAGGAGATTTAAAACCAAATTATTGTGAGTGTCAAATACAGTGCCACTCACTGGAGTCTGATAGTCATTTTTTAAAATCTCATAATGGTGGAGTCTTGAATTTTTTTAACTGAATAATCTTGTTATTCTATCTTGGTCCAAAGTACTTTTTGATACCATATTTGCTACATTTCTCTTTAGTGCAGTTACATTTATGTGATATTAAAGGGTAACACCCTCTTATGAAGAAAGCCCAGTGTCCTGTGAGCCTAAGTCTACTTGCATATGCTGGGCTCAAAAGACATGCACAGTAAATCTATTTTGAAAAAAGAAAAACTCGCCACCAACTATTTTAGTAGTTCCAAATTATAATGCTTTGTATAACTTCTAGGGCAGATTTTGTAGATGCTAAGTTCCTAAAGTACTGTATCTGTATATATGAGTTACATCTTATGCTTTCATTTTACTTCAAAACCCACTATTTATCTTTGATCACCCTTAGCCATGTATTAGAAAAGAATTATCTGTGAAATACTTCAAGTACTCTATAGTTTGTCTGTTCGAAAGTATTGTATGTTAACAGAAAAGCAAATAATCTAAAGATAATGTAAATGATACAGTTTTAAAAAATCAGCACTATAATATGCTTACATTTTAAAATTACTTTTAGTATGTTTACAAAATGAAAATATTCTAAAATATAGGTTTTAAATTTGGAAATACTATGTTCACTGCACTAGTTGTCAGTGGGATCTGGGAAAATGAAGCCAAAAAATAAGGTGGACTCAAATCTCATGCAACAAATAGCCATCTTTATTTAGAGCACCAAACAATTTATACTTTGAGGGTTAAGAGGAATCACATAAGTGAAGTGTAGAATCACAAAGGCAAGCCACAAGGGCAGATGTGGCAAAAACTTTTTTTTCCATAGAGACATATAACCAAATAACAATAGCCATTTGTAATAAATAATTGTACATAAACTCACCCTGATCCACTATAACTGTTGGTGGTACCACAACATTACAAGAACAAGTCTGTGTTTTTGAAGAAACTAATGTCACAAGACTTGATTTTTGGAGTTTCTCACAGCATTCAGAGTTCTCACATGACTCTATTCTTGGATGGTATTCTGACAGTAATATGCTAAAGGTCAAAGTGAGTGTTTTAAGATTATAGCATCAGTATTTGGAGCTACCTCGATTTAGCACTGTAGATTCTTAGAGAAGCCAGCATATTACTGGATGTCATTACTATCAATACAAAATAATGTCATTTTAATTTTTCTCTTTTAACTTCTATTAATCTCAAAGGTAGCACAGATAGCATGAACATTTATAACTACTTTATGTATATCCTAGCTAGGACAGTATAGGGTTGCGGAAAAGAAACTAATATTTGTACTTGAATAAACTAGTTTTTGATACATGTTTTTTTCTCATTTACAGGGAGTTGATTTTCATATGGAGTAAACTACAGCTTAAATCTAATCCTTCAAAACAAGTGTTTGTAGATCAGTGTTACCAACTTTTAAGAACAGCAACTAATGTGAGAGTCATATTTCCTTTCATGAAAATCATTAAAGATGAGGTAAATATATTTATCCTCTCAGTTTTTAGATTTTAAAGCTGCATTCTCTGTCATACTCTTTTCTCTTCAGCTTCCAACATTTACAATGAAAATTTTATCACCATGAAATAGAGGGAAAGCCAGTCTATTGTCACTTAATTTGGGAAGAATTCCTTCCACATGAAACAGTTCTTATGACTATGCAACTTTATCATTTATACCACTGTAAATCTTGTTTTTGGATATTAATCTACAAATGATCTGATCATACCCACTGACTGTCTCAGAAAGTCTTAGTTGATAGTAAAATTATATGTAGTTAAGTGGGGTTACCGTACTATAAGAGACTAAGAGGACGTGAGGCTTGCCAATGTTTACTCTTTCCTATAATCCATAACGTATATAGGTAGTATATATGCACATTCCATTATGATTTCTTGCTCTGTTCAAATATATTGATTATTCCAACCTGTTCAAATAAGTATTGATTATTCCAATTTTTGGTTTCTTTCTGTGAATCATTAAAAAATTCTGCATTAAATGCTAATATAATTATCATTAATAGAAGTAAAGGTGGACTAATTTTTTTCATACAATTTCCAGTAGGCTTATTATTCTTATACTTTATTAGATTTGATGATGCCCAAATATTTCATATTTGAATAACTGTAAAGTAATTGCCTGGTATGTATAATAATAAGAACAATAATATCACTATAAGTATGCCATTATCATTATTATAAGTATGACAAAATTTTCACATATTTTAAGACATAATTTACTTCTTGGCATCTATTTGAAATGATATGTGTTAGCTCTTCTGTGAGAAAATAGGAATTATCTCTCCAGGAAGCCTAGACTTGAAAGAAATTCTTAACAAAGTTTGCAAATACTTTATGCTGTAGTTATTGGGTCTTGTCATACTTGGAAATTAAATATATACCCTTATCAGGTTATTCTCATTTAACAAAAGGTATATGTTATATAAGAGTAGAACAAACACAATTATTGAAGTGACTTGCTTTGTAAATTCTTTCCACACTTAGAATACTATTTCAGAAAGTTTGGAGTTGTATTCAAAATGCTACAGCAGATAGTATAATGATTTCTTAAGTTATATTTAGTAGGAATTTTGTTTTGTTTTTCTAGGTTGAAGAAGAAGGCTTACAAATTTGTGTTGAGATATGTGGTTGTGCTCTCCAGCTTGATCTTCATGATGATCCTGAAACAAAATGTCTAATTTATAAAGCAATTGCACACTTTTTGCCAAATGATCTAGAGATTGTCAGGGTTTGTGCTCTTTCAGTATTTTTTCTTGAGCGTTCCTTAGAGGCCTACCACACAGTTGAAGAGCTTTACAGACGTCCAGATGAAGAGTATAGTGAAGGCACAAGTACTGTTCAAAATCGTGTTCGTTTTGAATTACTTCCAATTTTGAAAAAGGGATTGTTTTTTGATCCTGAGTTTTGGAACTTTGTAATGATTAAGAAAAACTGTGTGGCATTACTGCGTGATAAATCAGCAGTGAAACTTCTAAATGAAAATACACTGGAAAATTCTGCAAGTAGTCTAAAAAAGACAGTGGAACAGCAGAGTGTGGGTGAAGGGCTTGACACACTCACAGATCAGAGCACTGGAGAGACTGACCCTGATGATGTGTCTGGAGTGCAGCCTAAAGGTCCTGTTAATGCAAAGAGAAGCCTCACTGCTCTTAACACCTCCAAAGCCGATCATAGTGTCCCAAGGCATCGGTGCATGTTATGTAACAAGGAATTTCTTGGTGGCCACATTGTAAGGCATGCCCAGGCTCATCAGAAAAAAGGCAGTTTTTCATGTGTGATATGTGGTAGGAAATTTAGGAACAGAGGACTTATGCAGAAACATTTAAAAAATCATGTTAAGAAGATCCAGAGACAGCAGATTGCTATAGCACAACAGGATAATCCAGAAGTTACCACCTTGGAAGAAATAAATGGTTCCAAATCTTCCAATTCCTTTGAAAATGGGAATTCAAATTCTAAGGGCTTAGAAATAGAGACATTGACTGCTTCCAGTGATGGAAACAAAGAGGTCATCCGTGAACACAGGGCTGAATTCATTAAAATTCCCGTTGGTATATCAGAGAATACTATTGAAAATGGCAGACCAGACACTTCTTTCAATAATATCTCAGAGTCTTTACCTCAGTGTGATGATGACTATGAGGAAGAAGAGAATGAAGATGATTATGAAGATGATTATGACCTGAATCAAGAAACATCAGTACTTCATAAAATCAATGGGACTATGTGCCATCCAAAAGATGTATATGCTACAGACCAGGAAGGCAACTTCAAGTGCCCTGCTCTTGGCTGTGTAAGGATATTTAAAAGAATTGGATTTCTAAATATGCATGCAAGGACTATGCATCCAACTGATTTAAATGTGCGGCAAACTGTAATGAAGTGGAGCAAAGGAAAATGCAAATTTTGCCAAAGGCAGTTTGAGGATTCTCAACATTTTATAGATCACCTTAATAGACACAGCTATCCAAATGTGTACTTTTGTTTGCATTTTAATTGCAATGAGTCGTTTAAGCTGCCATTCCAGCTTGCCCAGCATACAAAAAGTCACAGGATATTTCAAGCTCAATGTAGTTTTCCAGAATGCCATGAGCTTTTTGAAGATCTTCCTCTGTTATATGAACATGAAGCCCAGCATTACTTAAGCAAAACACCAGAGTCATCTGCTCAACCAATTGAAGCAGTTCCTAATCATCAGGAAATAGGCTCATCTAGTAATGAGAACTTAACAGTTTATCAGCCAATTTCTTCTAACAAATCAAGGAAAGATTCTACAGAACCAAAGACATGTATAGACACTATGGAAAAGAAAACAGACAGTTTAGTTCAGAATGGAAATGAACATTCTGATGGTACTGTTTCAAATATAAGCTTGATAGACCAAAAGATGCCTGCCATAGAGCCAAATCCTGAAAATAGTCATAGTACCAGTGATTTAGTCAATGGACATAGTGAAATAGAGCAAACACCATTAGTTGCATCAGATTCTACCCTGAAAATAGATTTAAACAGAAACAGGACAGAAAATGGTTCTATTTTACCCAGTGTTGTATCACAAGAACACAGTGCCCTGTCAGTATCTCAGGCACCATCCAAACCAAATCTTACAAGTGACCATACGTCATATGGCTTAATTGTAACAAAGCCATATGTCAGACCGTTGCCTCCCAGTTACCTTGATGAACGATACCTTAGTATGCCAAAACGCAGAAAATTTCTGACTGATCGAGTAGATGCGTGTTCTGACCAAGATAACACGTGTAAAAAACCAGTGAAAAGATTACGATGTGGCAAATGCCTGACCACCTACTGTAATGCAGAAGCACTTGAGGCTCACCTTGCACAAAAGAAATGTCAGACACTCTTTGGATTTGATTCAGATGATGAAAGTAAGTCTTCTGTGTTTTCAGTAGCTCTATTTGTAGAAATAGAAAGATACCATCAATGTAGCCATGTGTATATTTGTGCAAATAAAACCATTAGTATCTATGTAGCCCAGATGATAAAGCACTATTGCACACATTTCCTTTAAATCCACAACCATTATGAGGTGAAATTAAAGTCCTTGTTTTTAGAGTAAGCAATAAATTCACACATAGTTTGCGTAGACTTATGAACTTGTGGAAGCTGGGATTCAAGAGTTTTTATTCTTTCCTCCTACTTTTCCTGCTATATTATACTTTCTCTACTAATGGTGACTTTTCTTCATTCTTAGTTTCACATAATAGAAGTTGTAGAAACAGTAACTTTCATCAGCATGGTAGAATATGAAACAAGTGAAACTTAAGTTGCTGTTAAAAATAAAAGTAAAGAGCCTGGGGTAGTGGCTCAGCAGAGAAAATACTTTTTGTGCACTGGTAAGGACTAGACTTCAGATACCCAGCACCCATGTAAATGCTGTGCCAGCATAGTGCATTGCCTGCAATCTGAGCATGCTGGAAGCTCAGATAAGATCCTCAAGCAGTCTGGCTAGCTAGAGTAGCAGAATCTCTGAGCTTTGGGTTCCAACGAGAGCTTTCTTTGATGAGGTTCATCAAGAAAGATAACCGGACCAGGCATGTGGTGTATGCCTTTAATCCCAATACTCAGGAGACAGAGGCAGGTAGATCTCTGTGAGTTTGAGGCAAGCCTGGTCTACAAAATGAGTCCAGGACAGCCAGGGCTACACAGAGAAACCCTGTCTTGAAAAACAAACAACAACAACAACAACAAAAAAAAAAACAACCAACAACAAAATGAAGATAACATCAATTTCTAATTTCCACATGCATCTAGACACATGCCCACACACAAACATGCATACACATACATGTACAGCACAAAGTATATGCACACATAAGCACGCGCCCACACACACCAGAAATATAAGGCTTGCTTTTCTACTATAATCTATGAAATTCGAATTAAAACATATTTTATTTTACAGGTGCCTGATAATGTCTCAGAAAGATCTGTTGATCATGCAGTAGTGTAAAAACAAAAACAAAACAAAAACAAAAAACAAACAAAAAAAAGCACTACAAGAAAATGCATCATCAGTTTGCTATTTCCCTGATGGCCTTAATTTTAGAGTGGTCTCGGATTACTAAAGAAAAGACAAAGCACATTATTTTCTGGAATGAACTTGCAGAGGAGATGTGCCGGCTTAGACTCCAAAAGGGTTATAAAACTCCCAAAGTACCAGTTATCCAGGAAACCACACTTTTTCAACGTTTATGGTGATTAATAGCAGCATGTTCAGTTTTGCTTTATGTGAAAATACATTTGGGTAACTAGTCAGAAGTAAAAACCAGCTATGGCCTTACTGAAGAAAGGAAGAACTTGATTCATTATAAGATAAAGTGGAGGGGGGAGCTGGTTTACAATAAACAATGTAAAACATTCTGAAAATGGAATTTGTTTTCTTGTCATGCATATTCATTACGTCTTCCCTTCTGGTCAAACATATTTTAAAGACTTTTCATTGCTCTTTAGTTTGTGATATACTTTAGAAGCTGATACATAGAAATAAAGCTTAATTTATCATCATGCTATCTACTAAAGATTGTAACTTGTTTCCACATGATTAAGTAGACAGTTCAAGTTCAGTGAATGGCATGCCACCTTTGAAAAATAAAAATAAAACAAAAACAGTGCTTGGCTGAAGCTCTTGATAAGAACCTTCAACAATCCCACTTTTGTAATGTCAAGTAGTTATTTAAAAGGCAGCAGTGTTAAGTAGAAAAGTAACATCAGTTACTTTAGGGGGCTGTGAGAAGAATCTAAGATCACACTGCATGGTAGATAGTTGAAGGATAACACTGAACTGAAAAATGTGAATAATGGTAAAAGCACACTGGACTATTTCTATCTGTACATAATATTAGGACATTGCTTGATGATTCATAGTAAAGTCCTTTAGACATTAGTGTGAGTTATCTAAGTATGGTCCTATGAAAATAATTGGCTTAAAAGTATGTCAGTTAAAAATCAGATCAAGAGTTCATTTTATTCAGTTAGGAGAATTAATTCCAAAGTAAGCCATACTATTGTACTTTTTTCACTAGTGATGAATTTGACCTGCATAGTAATTCTTATATTGAAGGGGAAGTATTTACACCAAAATCTGCACAACAGGAATACAGTAAGAGAAACATTAATGCATTATTCTTGGTGACCACTAATTTTCCTAAAGAAGACTAACTTATTAAGTTATTAAAACAAATATTTTACAGATTTAAAAAAAATCCTCTAGATATTTCCCAACTGTGTATTATTAAAAGGAAGATGCTTGAAGAACTTCTTTACCTAATATATTAGTCTAAAGTAAGATAAAAGAGAATACAAATGCAGTACATCACTGTCAATTGAGTTATTCCACCGTGTGGCTTTGTGTAAAGCAGACAATCTCATTCCTCACATTACAAAATTTAGAAACATGGCTTCTTGAACAAGGTTAGAAAAATGGAACGTACTTTCAGGGTGGCATCGAGACTTTTAAAAATTATGTTTTCCAAGAATGCCATTTCAGAGGATTTTTTTTTTTTAAGTTCTGAATTTTATTATTTACTTACCATGGGCATTTGCAACTATGCAATGATGGTCACTAGCCTATTCCAATCAAATTTAAGTTTGTTTTAGTTTTGTTATGTAGCCTACATTAGGCTCTGGAATTTATATGCAGATAACAAATAAGTACAACTCATAATTTTTAAATCCTATAAGTTCAACACAAGATGGTTTCCCTATCTCTTGACAATAAAAATGTAATAGTTGACTTTTATTTTAGTTCATATTGAAAGTACATCCTGTAATAAAAATTTTGTTTGGAAACTGGTTCATTTGCACCATGAATTTTTGGGGGGAACATAATTTCTGCTTTGTACACATTCCAGTTAATACTAACATTTTACCAGTTTTTAACTTTACTTTTTACATGTTGTCACTACTGATATAGAAGTAAATCCACAAGGTGATACATTTTCATGAATTTTGAAGTTTGTGCAAAGATGTGTAAACAAATTCCACCTGCTATTTTGTCTTTAAGCTTAATTTGAAGGTTTTCTTTTTGATTTTTGTTGCTAGGAGAAATTTTTCTTATAAAATGGTTCATATATAATCAAACCAAAATGTCATGTAAAATTCTGTTTGACAACATTTTTCTAACCTGTTTATATACTTCTCAGTTTTACCTGTTGAAGGAATTTATGCATTTTATTATGATTTTCCACCACAACATTCTGCTTTTGTGCAAACTTCAGCAGTTCTGATTTGGGATTTAGAAGAAAAAGAAGCTATCATTTACTTACACTCTTTTCCTTCTCCTTTCTTCTCTACTTTTGTTTTGAGGATATATGGACCAAGTTTCAAATCTTTGTTTTAAAAAAAAGATATGTGTCAGTGAGGTCAAGAAAGTGTAGACTGAATTCTTGCTGCTCAGACACAGAAGAGGCACAGGAGGGATTCTCCGTGGACAAGGACACTGGTACTTTGGGCTCTAGCCATATTCTTTTTTTAAAAAGCACCCACATATAACAAAAACATAATTTATATCATTGATCTATGATTGTTTTCAAATCACACTGAACGTCTAGCTGTACTTTCATGTTTGGTTTAATATTGTTGTATGAATGAAAAGCCTAAGAGGGATGATAGTGTTTATTTTTTAATTTATTTGGTACTGTCAAACACCTTTTCAGAATGAGCAAATGCTGCATATGCATTTTGGAATTGTTATGTGAAAGCTATTACAGATTCAGCAAGAAGGGAAATTTGTGCTTCCTTGTTGAACATTAAATTATTTTACTTTGCATTTTATAAAAGTACAAATTAAAACTGAGCCATTAAACTGCAATAAATCAACAATAGTGTCATTTCAAGAACTTTTTTGTATTGTACATAGATTTGTTCAATAAAACGTCCTTGTTGATAATACAAGTGTTCAATTTTATGTAGTATACTGATTTCAAGAATTCAGTGTATTTAATTAAATGACATTTTTATGCCTCATAAAAGAGTGGGGGAAAAAGGATGGGAAGCTTTTTGAAACATGGTAGGAAATGATTCTGTAACAAGTAGACTTTTTGTTGTTAAGTCCGTATATAATGGTAAGAGTTAATAGAGGGAGATGAAAAGGTGCCTCATAGGTTTGTAGAGTTCTGGATGCTCTTCTGAAGGACTTAGGTTCAGTTCCCAGTACCCACATGGCAGCTCACAACTGTTTAACTCTAGTTCCAGTGGATTTAACACCCTCTTCTTGGCTAGGCACCTTGCTCAAATGGACACACATGCAGGGATGCATACAGGTAAAATGATTGCTGAAGTCATTTCAGATAAAAGACTGAAGGCTTTGCAGACTTGGGGCAAAAGGAAGTAGCAGAGCTCAGCAGATGCCAGACAATGCATATGTCAACATTTGTGCCTTTAATGATGAAGCGCTTCCTGGAACTTAATGAGTCACTGTGGTATCAGTGTTCTGCCTGGGACACATCTTATTCTCTGCCCTGCTCAGGATTTTCATCCTATTATTTTAAAAATATTAGGGGTGTGGTTCAGCAGTAAAAGCATGTTTACCATGCTCGAGGCTCTGGTTTTAATGCCAATATTAATTTTTTTTTTTCACTGAACTTACTATTTGAATCCAAAAGTGATCTTGGGCATGAGGGCTCCTCTTTGGTTCAGTATCAGGGAAAAAAAAAAAATAATAAAACCCTGCACTGTTAGCTATAACTTAAAACTTGGAACAAATGTAAGAAAGAAATTTAACACAATGAAGTAGCACTGCAAGTGAATGAATAGATGAGTTAAAGTGATTTGCATATATTACAAACAACAGTATGACACAAAAATATTAAAATATTCTAGCAATGAGATGTAAACTTTTCAGACTGAGGGACATATGATCTTGGACTAAACATGATCCATTTTTAGAACAATGCGTCTATTAGGTTATTTGGTAACTTTCTATTTTTTCTCTTCTGAAATTGGAAAAATTTTGGGACATAATACCAGGTTCACTTACAAGATAAACAAATGAAGTTGCTGTCATAGTTCTTTTGTCTGCTTGGTGTAACTACTATACCTGACACTAGATAATATATAAATGTGGTTTATTCAGCTCACAGTTCAGCATAGAAAGCCGAAAAAGTATACTGCCAATCCCGGCTGTATCACAGCATGGTTAGAAAAACAGAGAGGCAGTCTGCAGAAAAGGTGTGTGCCAAGAAGCAGGAGTGAGGAGGAGCCATGCTCTTCTGTAACAAGCTCATAATAGCCAATGTTCTGTCAAGGATGACAAATAATTTCTTAATGTTCTTTGTACCTTAGTATGGGCTAAGCTTTCAGCACATGAACTTGTGTACATTCACAAACCAATATGCTAAATCTAACCAGTATAAAAGCCAGACTAAGTTGAAGAACAAATGGTTGACAAGGACACAAATTCACATCTTATATATCAAGATGTTCATCTCATTGACAAGTGTTACACACTGAAGGAAAAAAAAATGGCTTCTGATTTACTATATTACCATGTGCTCCCTATGTGTCACCTCTAATTGTCATAAAACCTCCAGGATTAATGTGAACACTGATTGCCATATGCCTAAGGGTTGGCCAATTCTGAATAATCAAAATGTTCCATTCTGCCTTGCAATTTTCCCTAAAACATGAATGGAGACATGTCCGGAGACAACCTTACCTGAGAATCAGTGATTTCAGGGACAGGATGAAGTCTGTCTGGCATACTTAGTTACCAATTCATTTTCTAATAATGATTCTCAAAGGTGTGATCACTATAGCAATACAATCAACATCACGTGGAAGCATGGTAAACATTAGGCTAAAGAATTTTATTTAAATTTATTTTTTTATAATTTATTCACTTTACATCAAGAATTTTATTTCTATTACAGGGGTTCCTTCCAGCTCTACTGCTGGCAGAGAAAGAACCATAAGAAGCAAGAAGGAAACTAGGTTTGACAGAATTTAGCCAGGCTGGTTCAAACTTCTGGAATCTGACACCAGGCAGTTTATCTTAGACATACATTTAAGTACAGTATAATTCTGGAAAAAAGTTTCCTGGTAACAATTATCTCAATCCTCTCTGCACAATAAAACTCAAGGCATGACTTAATTGAAACTTTTTGCAAAGTACATCTGGCCTCTACCATAAAGATGGGTTCTATAGCTTAATGGCCTAGGATACAGTGGTCTCTAATAGAGAGTGTAGAGATAGCCAGGCTATAAAGTTCATGCAATATCCCTACTAAGGATGTTGTCTAAAAAACAAAGCTAACGATAAAGGTCTAGAGTGTGGTATAAACATTCTGGGAGATTTGAGTGAGACCTAACTCTTCAGATAGCAAAGGTCACCAAGTTCTTCTGGGTGGAAAACAGGTACAGATCCCTTCCATTGAAGAGATAAGACTGGGTGGTTAACATTCCTGGTTTCTATAGTGCTTAGCTGTGAGCTAGTACCGTCTATCACAAATCTTGGGTAATTCTTATACAAGCTAAGGTTTGAAACTGGATAATAACAATGTATCATACTGCCCTATATGATAATCCCCCCTTCCAAATTCAGAGCCTTCTCAGAAACACTCCCATTGGTAGTCACTTAATGACTCCTGAGTAGATTCGCCCCTAAGAAATTTTTATTTACTTTTCAAAAAAACCAAAATACCGAGTATGCTCTGGTGTCTCCTCACAATATGAATGTCTTTTACCTCTTACAAAAAGTATTCAGAGTTATTAGAAACAGTCAAAATGGTACATAAGCAAGTAAGACTACTCAAATTCTAGAATGGCAGCTTTATTGAGGAAACTAAATAATTAAGAATATACTTTTAAATGGACATAATGACATTATTATATCCACGGATTAATCTTCCAAGCCTCATCAGAGAAGATTCTATCCGTGGTCGATGGTTATTAACACAGAAAACCCAAACTAGCTAAGGTGTAGAGAATAAGAAACTGCAGAATTCTCAGCACTAAAACACACACACACACACACACACACACACACACACACACGAAAGAGAGAGTCTCCTAAAACTCAGGGTTCACTTCAGAAGAGAATAAAGAATGAATATAGTATAAGGGCCAGAAGCAATAGATGATGACAAGAAAACTGTTCTGGACACAGCAGGGCAGCAGCAAATACATGAAATCACAGTGGTGTGACAGCAAGCACAAGACTTGTGTATGCCCAAGCCAGTCAAATCATAACAGAGACAGGGAAGTTGGCACCCAGACCTGCTGCTCTGGCTTAGGCACAACAGTTGTTAGAGAGGAAAAGTTACGTTTTCTCCGAGGGCTAAGCTAGACTCTGATAGGTTGATCACACTCCAGTTGAAGGCCATACATCCAAGAATACTTGGCAGCACGAAATACTTTTTAAACCTGACAGCTTTAAAAAAGTAAAAAGGACACGAGGTTGGGTGGGTAGGGAAGTGGGGCTGGTCCTTGGAAAAGTATGGGGAAGGGAGAGTTGGCGTAGTTTTAAAAAACTCATCTATATTTCTTTCATCTTTTTCTCCCTACTCCACCCCGATCCCTTCCAACACCCAACACCAGGTAGGAGAGAGAACGGGTTAGTGGGAGAGAGGCAGCAGTTTTCTCAGCTTTTTTTCTGCTGGTTAGGGTCCTTGGGTTCCTTGGAGTCAGTCCAATCCTTGTTTGAGGAGATCACCAACTTTTTCTCTCTCAACAGCAACCAGGAGCAAAAAGGGGAAAACAGGAGCAGCATTGTTCTTTCTCAGATCCTTTCACTCTCTGGGCTCTGGCATTTTTTTCTCTCCAGAGTCCTCAGATTTAAACTACCTGCATCTGGCAAAGAGCTCCTCTCAGAGCCTGCATGTGGTAAATAGTCTGCTGCTGTGGACCATGTGAAACAGTCCCACATCCCACACCTGGGACCAAACCAAAAGCAGGTTTATATCAACAAGGGAGTGAATGCGATCAAAACATACAAAATGTTCAAAGAACTTATAAATTATTTATGTTATAAATGATCTATCATCTATCTATCTATCTATCTATCTATCTATCTATCTATCTATCTACCTATCTATTAATTTTGTTTTTTTTCCAGAAAGGATTTCTCTGTGCATCCCTTACTACCTTGGAACTCACTTTGTAGGCCAGGCTGGCCTCAACCTCAAAGATTCTCTTGCCTCTGTTTCCCAAGATCTGGGATGAAAGGCATGGCTTAATAAATTATTTTATTAAAAATACCAAACTGAGTTTATATTTCTGTAACACAAAACAACTATACTTGTAAGGGTATAAGAATTAAGTACATGAAGGTCCTCAGGCTGAGACCTGCATGCTATGCTTTTGCCAAATCTGTTATGATTACTAGCTAGTCTCTGGCCTTACAGTCATATTGAAAATTCTTCCTGCCTTCATATTGCTGCCCTGTCACTATTAACTCAACACTCTCTTTCTGCCTTGACTTTCTTTCTTTGATTTAGTCTTAGGTATCATCACTTGTTCCAGAAAGTCTGTGCTAGTCTTATATTGCTCATTAAAACCTATTTTACTCAGTGTTCCTTTTCTCAGGGAATGGTAACTCTGGTAGTCCAAACCAAAGCCTGAAGTCATCCAAGACTATAACAGCTTCCACTCTATCTCAAGTTATCATTTTCTGTCACACAGTCTATTATAGTAGCCTCCCAACTGGACTCTCTTTCCTCTTTGTTTCTGTCAGTCTGTTCTTGTGTTCCTGTTTGGAACAACTCTGATCACTTCATCTCCAGTGACTGCACAACTTATTGTTTATTAAAAAAAAAAACATATCTATTATGTGCCAGGCTTTGTAAAGGAAATCAAACAAAAATTGCTTGCCTCACAAAATTCACCTTGTAATGGGATGGGAGTGGGGTGAGTGCAATAAACAA